CGGAGAAGAGTGATGACATCTATCGCATGAAGGGTGTCTTGTCCATTCACAAGTGCCGGGAACGTTTCGTCTTCCAGGCAAGTCTACCAAACACTTCATTGACCTACCTTCCCAATCTTGGACATGATTACCAGTACGGTACCTTCTACCTCTACCTGAAACATAATCGTCTTTTGCGCGTTAATATCTTGCAGGGAGTGCACGCTCTTTTTGAAGGTTCTCCTGACAAGCCGTGGGGTCCGGATGAGAAGCGCTCCAACAGAATTGTCTTCATCGGCCGTAACCTGAATGAGGCAGAACTTAATGAAGGGTTTAGGAGCTGCCTTCATGCATAGAGGAGTAGCTCTGTGCTGTTGCTCTTTTGTACACACAAATGTAGTCGCCTGCTGACTTGATTGTGGCCTCGCCATCTGTAGTAGCTAGCTACTCGTATGCACTTCTAACCACTACAGTACCCTAGGAAGAGTCCCCACACCCTCTTTGATGATTACTCCAACTGATGCCACCCTGGACCAGAATTTTATCAGAACACTGCACAGAAATAACCAGTTGCTCCTCACATTACACGACCACAATACAGGTCCTAGTCATCAGGCAATACTACGGTATGTAACCAATTTGAAAGTTGAAACCCATGTTGTACCCATAGTACATTGAGTCAGTATTAGGTGTGGTGGTCATCTGAATACCGTAGCACTGCGAAGACATAAATCTGGCTGGTACAATGCCGCCTAAAGGAGCAGCTTCTTGTCCTCCACAAACTTGGAGCTGAGTAACTGCACCAAGCAACAGCTGAGCCGTGTTATTTGGTCATGGACCTAGGGTGCACCTAAATGGTATTGGTGATCAATCTGGCCAACAGTTTCGCAAAAACATGTCAGATAAGAGAAGGATATTGTTTTGCCTGCTCCCTGACCCTCTTTTTATACTCCACCGTGTCCTGAAAGAAAAAAAGTAAGCAAAATCTAATCAGGTGTCAAAGGCAGCCATGAACATCATGCAAACAAAGAATGCAGCTCAAGGGATCAACGAACCTGCGTGAAGAGCTGGTAAGCATCAGTTTGAGCTGGGTCGGCAGGGTTTGGCTGGTCAAGCAACTCTTGAATACCAACTAAAATTTGCTTCACAGAAATGGCTGGTCTCCACCCCTGAAGACGGAAAACAGAAATCGCAAAGGAGTAGAGAGACAGAGGCAGTGAGCGGGGGAGGAACGGAAGGAAAATGGTGGAGAGGGGAGAGGAAAAGACGTGAAGATATTGTGTACTTCGACAATAGAACGACGGTGAAGTTAGAAGCAGTAGCAACTGCAAGAGATACTGACATAGTCTTCGTTGAGAATGCTGAGGCACACCGTGCCTGACGGATATACGTTGGGATGGAAAAAGCCTGGAGGGAACTTGCACTTTGGCGGCTTCGATGGGTAGTCTTCCGTAAAGTGTATCGTCAGCGGATAATGGCCACCTTCCCAGTCCGTCTGCGAAAGGACGAGAGTTGATTATAAAACAAGGAGCAAAATCGAAACAGAAAGAGCCATCAGATAGCTACTCACGTCCTTCTTTCCAGGTATAACGCACTTCCATGTCATCATGTCTGTCGAGCCATCATCTTTCGCCTCTGGTCTGGCGACAAATCCCTGCACGGCGTGACAATAGTCCACGTGTCATCCTACGTAAACGCTCAAAGTCAGCTTGCGAGCATCAAGTCAGTCACGACTCACGTGCGGATGGTTCTTCCGCCAAGATTTTCGTTCTTCCGTCAACCTACCCAAAGAGATCCCCGTCATGGAGTCGAAGTAAAGAAATCAAAATACTGTTCAACGAGTACTGTCTCAAAATAAGGCGGTCGTTGAGCGTCGAACTATTCCTAGTAGCACGCTTTTTAGAGCAGTGCCGATAGATTCGGAACGTACAACTTTGTGTTGGTCGCAGTGATCCAGAGGGGTCTGACAGCTTGAGAACTGAAGCGGGAAGAATTGGAACCTGGCTGAATACACGCAGTTCGCTTCTTTGCTGGCTCGGTAGGGCCTCGAAACATGGCTTAAAACTGTTTCTTACAATCCATAACCTTGCTTATCAAACAATTTTCTTCAATAGTATCATGAACTTCAGCCCTCTGTGCCTAACACAACAGGCAAACCACAGAACTAATGAATGATTCAAAATCTATTTGAGACGAATATCGTACACATTGAGCTTAGGCTCAAAGGGTTTTAAGCACGACAACATGTACTGGTAAAACCTGACCAGGAGGGGCCGGAACAAGAAATTGCGCAGACACACCTTTACGCGTCTACAGCAGGGCTCTCCCTAGCAGAAATTTCTTGTCTGTTTGTCTTATTATCAGACGGTTTTTTTCAGGTTCATCTGGTTTTCCAGAAAATGGTCTTGGTTTCATCTGATTAGACAGAAATGATTTTTGCGTTTATCTGATACACAAACCTGTTAATGAAGAATACTTTTGCGGTTTGTCTGATGAATCAGGAACATGTTTCGGTTTCGTCTGATACCGAGACATTTTCCCTTAGGCGTGATTCAGGGTGAACTCGGCATGCGTGCATGCAGGGTGTTCCCCGATTACCGGGTCGTGAACACCATTCTTTCATTTGGCACCTCGTCCCTACACGTGACCCACTTGGCCACCATTGCAGACGAGGCTGCAGCAGAAGTTGATTCTGACCAACAGAAGGTAAGTCTTCGTCATACATTGCCCACGGAGGACCGGGTGTGTTGAACGTGGCCTGATAAGAAGGGTCGGATTGGTCCATCAGAGACAGCAGAGCCACTTCCACATCACAGAGAGCTGAATTCGGCGCCTACCGAAGCTTCAAGAACCAAGATGCGGTGGCATCACACAAACAAGTGGAGCCACCCATCCCATGGTCCTTTCAACATGCGCGCTTCGACCAAGGCAGGTGTAGATGCACGGCTGCTGGGGTTTCAGGGGTCCCTTCTTCTCCATCCCCCTCTTCCAAAAGCATTCACACTAGTATCTGCTGCTGTGACGCTACCATTTTCGAAACCCGTCCATCTCCTCGCCATGGCGGACGATGAGGACGCAGGGGAAAAGTCCCCCCCGCAGGCCCGTACACCTATGACGGGCCTGGACTTTCTGCGTAGGGCCCCGCCAGCCGCCGTAGGAACCGCCCGCGTAGTAGCCGCTGAAGTGGCGCCCGTGAATTGGCCAGAGCTTAATGCTCGTCGGGTTTCAAGCAGCACACCTCCCGTCTCGCCTAGGCCTCCTTCTCACCGTCCTCTGCAATCTCAGAGAGCGCAGTCGTCCGATAGTGCCGCACGTTCACACGCCGTGCCACTGTTCCATAAGGTGGGGCGCTTCACCCAGAGTACCCTCCGTATTGCAAAGACTGGTGTGCCTCACGTACGCATAGTTTCTCGACCCACCGTGCGGCCTGCGCGAGAACAGGCGTCTTCACGGCCTGCTGCACAGGCCGGGGATCAAGACGGAGATCCTGGTCCGTCTACCATTCACGTACCTGATCCTGACAGTCTGATGTCAAAGCTCGAAACGATGGCGAAAGTTTTTTGGAAGGGCAAGTTCAGCTGGCTTGTCATTGCACAGAGGAAAGATGGCACGCCATGCATGAAGTGCAGCATTTGCATGGCTCATGGTCCTCCGCATTGGAAGTACGGGAAGTTCGGAGAGGGCGGGGTTGACATTCAGCGGCAGTCTATGCGGAAGCATAGCCTGAGTAAGAAGCATCAGGACGCGGTCGACAATCAGCTGCGCGCGGAAGGCGCTAGGTTGCGCAACGAAGCATCGCGGAATTCGAGAACGCGGACAAGGAGACGGCTCGGTTGAAGCAACTCCTGCTCACGGTGCTGTATATCTGCAAGTCAGATTCCCCAATTTCAGGCTTTGCAGATCTTGTGCGCCTGCTGGCAGATTTGGGGACGCCCGATATACCTGATAAGGCGATCGGAACGTATCAATCCGAGTACGTATCGATGCGCAGGTACGTATCAATCCGAGTACGTTTGTTTTATTCACAACCATCTTACCTTTCATGTGGTTGCTGCGCAGGTACGGCTTTCGCGAGATGACCCAGGCACTTGTGACAAACCTGAAGCAACAGCAGATGCGCCACGTCCAATCTGCACCGTTTCTCGGCATTCAACTGGACGAGAGCACAGACCGGCGAAGGGGTAAACATATGATTGTTTACTTGTCCTTCCTCCGAGACGCTAAGGTCGTGACCGAATTCTTCGGTCACTTGACGGTGGAGAGGTGCGACGCTTCGTCACTTCTGACCGTGCTGCTTGCTCACCTGGAGACTACGGGTGTTGACATCAGCAAACTCACCGGCATCGCCACGGAGGGCGCAAGCGTGATGACAGGTTGTAACGCTGGAGTGGTGACTCAACTGCGGATGCGAGTCCCGCACCTTGTCACGTGCCACTGCATCGCACACAGGCATGTATCTCCCATCTGTCCGTGTCGGTCAGTATGCTCACTCGGCCTTCAAATCTGATGCCTTGTCTACTTTTTGTAAACCTGTGACGTTACAGGGAGGCACTCGCAGCGCAAGACGCCGCGGAAGCAGTGCCTGATCTCAACATCGTCGATCAGGTTGTTCGGAGCGTTGCCGACAGCCTCGGATGCAAAATCATCGTGCACTCCCGATTCATCGAGCTGCAGAAAATCCTCCACGCAACTACCCTTGAGCTGCAGGGGATAAAGGACGTCCGCTGGCTGTCACGTGGCGACGCGATCCAGTGGCTCGCGGCTGTACTTCCTGCGACTGTTGTTGTGCTTTGGGAGCACGACAAAGATGCATACAAGACGGTCACCAGCTTCAAGTTTCACTTCTTCTTGTTCTTCCTGGCAGATGTGCTCAAGGAGCTCAACGAACTGAACCAGAAGTTTCAGCGGCGGACGGTGAGTCTCTAACACTGGTTACGCGTGAATCTGATTATGAGAACCGTGATTCGTACTAACAATCCCCCTTGTGATATGTGCAGGTGGACATCACCCGTGTGACCGCCATGGTGCACAACACGGCAGGAAGGCTGCGGGCTCGCTACATTGAATACGGCGTGAACTACGCCGAGGACAGTGACTTGCTGAGCCGCTTCCTGGAGGAGCATGGCCCCACTTCCAAGAGGGAGGTTACGGTGTCAGGCACGGATGGGGAAGGCAATCCAGTCACCCACAAATTCGAACTGCATGAGGAAGCAATCAAGGGCCAAAAGTCCAAGGGCGACATGGAGTCTTGCATCTCTGTCACTTCCCTGTTTGCGCAGGAAGTGGTGAAGCACCTCCTCAAGCGGATGGAGAGCCTTGATTCGCTCGTCGGCGCGAAGCTGTTTCTGCCTGACGCTTACCCCGATGGCCCTGTGAAGAGAGAGCGCGTCTGCCAGGAGTGGTTCCAGTCTCTCCGCGAGCTCTTCAAGGCGGACAAGTTTGCGCTGCCAGGTAAGCTGCTGTTGACGTCTTTTGATGTTGACAGTGCGAGCCATGCACTAACACCTCCCCCCCCCTCCCCCACCCCCCGCCATCTGTATGTGTGTGCCCGCATGTGATCATGCAGGTGTCAGCTGGAAAAGGGCGGCACGAGAACTCGTGCCCTTCACGCGGATGATGTACTCCCAGTACAAGGACCAGACGTTCCATTCGAGCCTCAAGCACATGCTGCGCAGTGAAGACTGGGAGTCTTCCTACCCCAACATGGTTCGCATCTGGGTCGCTGTAGCCGTGCTCCCCTTAAGCACCGTCGAGTGCGAGCGGGGCTTCTCGAGGCAGAATGTGATAAAGTCATGGCTTCGAACTAACCTGTGCAATGCTCGCTTGGCAGACCTGATGTGCATCTCTTTGCTGCAGTATGAGCCGATCTGGGACGAATGTGTGGCCACATGGAGGAGGGCGAAGATGTTGAAATAGTAGGCATAGCTTAGGACTAGGTGACTAGGGTTTAGCCTAGGCAAAGGGAATGAATCCAAGCAAAGGAGGGGTTGCACTATGAAAAGAGGGGTAGAAATAGAAGAGAGAGAGAAGCTAGGAGTGGTGCACCACCACACAAAGCACATATGTGACTACACTACAGCTAGACTACATGCACTTATACAAAATATATGCAATATATATTCTGACACACCCCCTAAGTGCATGCAGGAATAGCCTTGTGCAGAACACCCCCTGAAGTGGTGCACCCTGCAAAGAGCAGCTGAAGAAGAGGCGAAGTGAGGAGGAGGAGGGACTGTGAGAGGAGTGGAGATAGGAGGCGACAGGTGAAGTCGCAGTCACACGGGCAACAGGAGCGGCGCGCACAGTGGCTACCGAGCGCACGAGGGCACCGGACTACGGGAGTATCTGGCTCCGCAACTACGACGAGCACACACAGGAGCAACGGACCCACAGGCGACTGGCGAAGCAGGCTCGCTGGGCTACCGAGAGCACGAGGGCTCCGGACTACTGGCGCTGCTGACGACACGACGACGACCTCCGCTCATCCTCCCCTAACAGTCCCACACCCCCTTCTCACACACCCCCTTGTTGCACCCCTAGTTCCACTCCCACGACACCCCCCTAGCGCCACTCCCTCGGCTCCCACACACCCACCCCCCTCAGCGGCAGCTGCAGCAGTGGGAGACGGAGGAGGAGGAGGAGCAAGGGAGGGTTCACACATCCGCTACCCCTATACCCGCCACCCCCACACCCGCCACCCCAAGACCCCAACGCAGGCAGGGTGGGGCAGATACGCAGGCAGCAGCAGGGGCGGCGTGCGGGCGGAAGGGGGGGCGGGGCGCGGGTCCCTGGGGAGCTGCTATGGGCGACGGGCAGGGGAGGCGCGCGGGTCCTTGGGGCCGCCACGACGGGCGACGGGGGGGCGACGCGCGGGTCCCTGGGGGCGCCACGACGGGCGACGGGGGGCGACGCGCGGGTCCCATGGGGCGTCGCGACGAACGACGGGGGCGACGCGCAGGCCCCCAGGGCGCCACGACGGGCGACGGGAGGGGACAGCGCGCGGGCCCCCGGGGCGCCACGATGGGCGACGAAACCGCCGCGCGCTCCCGGGGTGCGCGGCGGGCAGGAAACCGCCACGCGCCCCGAGCGCGTGGCGGGAAGAAAACCGCCACGCGCCCCGAGCGCGTGGCGGGAAGAAAAAAAGGAAGATCGCGCGCCACGGGGCGCGCGACAGACAGTATGGCAACGGAAGTAGGCGGGCCCACAGGCCAGGAGCGTAACAACTCTGTTTCCATGTTGAAATAGTAGGCATAGCTTAGGACTAGGTGACTAGGGTTTAGCCTAGGCAAAGGGAATGAATCCAAGCAAAGGAGGGGTTGCACTATGAAAAGAGGGGTACAAATAGAAGAGAGAGAGAGAAGCTAGGAGTGGTGCACCACCACACAAAGCACATATGTGACTACACTACAGCTAGACTACATGCACTTATACAAAATATATGCAATATATATTCTGACACATTTTTTTTTTTTAGGCAAGAATGGATGAACTAGCAACAGTTGGGATACAAATATGAACCCTAGAATGTGTTGTACCCCATGTAAGCTACCCCACTACAGCCTACAGTACTACAGCAGGTATATATAATTTGACACACCCCCATAGGCAAGGTGGGGGAGAACAAGGGGTCACATGACCAGTCAAGCAAAGAAAAGCTCAGCGTGGATCACAACGTCACCACACACTCTGAGCACAAACAGTAAAGGCCACAAGGCCAGTTCACATGCAGAGAGATATAAAAAACAGCGACAATACAGTGATCCCTACCTAGCAAGAGCAAACAAGCAGGTATGTATATAGATCACAGTACAAACAAGGTCAAGCAGTAAGCATGTGAGAGAACGTAGGTACAAGGCCTAGAGCAGTGCAGTGCCGCTGATGATCACTAGGCGGAAGTGCCTTGGTGAATATATCAGCGGTGTTGGCCCGTGTGTCGACGTACGCAAGACGAAGCTGGCCACGCTGCTGCAGCTCTCGAGCCAGGAAGTAACGGAGAGCAATGTGCTTCGTTCTGTGCTCCAGTCTGTGCTCCTGACACAAGGCAAGGGCTGCCTTGTTGTCGCCGTACAGAACTGGAGGAGAACTAGGCCGCTCTCCCAGGTCAGTCAGCAGGTAGGTAAGCCAGCGTAACTCCTGTGCAGCCATGGCTGTGGCGTAGATCTCAGCCTCACAACTGGAGCTGAGAACAGAAGACGAGCGAGTAGACCGCCACGAAACAGAGCCTGAAGGTGTAACCCTGTGACGACCGCTGCGTAGCCAGGTCGTCAACCCAAGCGGCGTCTGAGTGACCAGTGAAGACAACTCGACCCCGTCCTCCAAGCACCAGCCCCATGCCTGATGTACTGCACAAGTAGCGTAGCACCCTCTTAGCAGCCTCCCAGTGCTCTCGCCTGTGCCTCCCAGGCGCGACGTAGCGAGCTAGGATGCTAAGAGGGTACGCAAGGTCAGGTCGAGTGCAGGTCATCAGGTACATGAGGCAGCCCACAAGCTCTGGGTACGGGCCACTCGGCTCTACGGACTCGTCCGAATGTGGAGCTGAGAGCGAGTGACACGTAGACAGAGGAGTGGACTGTGGTGAGGAGTACTGGAAGTCGAAGCGCTGAAGGATCTGCTGCACCATGTGTGACTGAGTCAAGGTGATGGTGCGGCGTGCTCTGTCCCGGGTGATCTGCAAGCCAAGGTAGCTGTGCAGCTCACCCAGGTCAGTGCACGTGTGTCTCTTCTGCAGCTCCGACTTCACGTTCAGCAGTAGCAAAAACCAAGTCGTCGACGTACACGAGGATGTAGAACGGCGGCAGCGAGGTGTCGGTGCGGAGAAACAGCGACGGGTCTGCAGTGGAGGGAGCAAACCCAAGTGCCGCAAGTGTCGTCCTCAGTGTGTCGTACCACTCACGTGGCGCCTGGCGGAGACCGTAGACTGGCCGGCGGAGGCTCCACTGGGTACCAGGAGGGAACGACCCAGTAAAGCCAGGTGGGCGGCGCAGCCAGATCTCCTCGTGCAGGCTGCCCTGCAAGAACGCTGTGCTGAAGTCAAGAGAGTGAAGCTCGTAGTCACGCTGAGCGGCGACGTGCAGCAGAACCCGAAGAGTGGTCATCTTCGGGGTGGGGGAGAAGGTCTGGAAGAAGTCAACTCCCTGACGCTGACTGAAGCCTCTAGCAACGTAACGAGCCTTGAAGACAGGTGGAGAACCTGGCGGCCGCTTCACCCTGAAAATCCACATGCCATCGACGATGTTCGCCCCAGGAGGGGGAACCTCGTCGACGTAGGTGCCTGTGGATTTCCAGGATGCCATCTCTGCGTCCATGGCTGTCTGCCACTGAGAGGAGTAGGGACCCGAGATCGCCTCTGCGTAAGAGCGCGGAGTGGGGATGTCTAGTGCATCCGGGTCTCCCTCAGGGGCAAGCAACCAGGCCACGAGATGAGGTACAGCAGCCGCAAGAGAGTCAAAGTCCTCCTGCCTGTCCTCAAGGACGTCCGTGCCAAGAGCACACTCACCCCCGACGGACGGAGGACAGACGGACTCAGACTCAGCAACAAGACTGGCGGCGTAGTCTAGACGACAGGCAGCAGCAAAGTCGACAAGCTCAGCGACCAGGGCAGACGCAGCAGCAGACTCAAACGACGGGTCAGTGACAACAGTGGCGAGAAGACGCGTAACAGTAGGGTGGGCAGCACGAACACTGTCAGACTCAGGGTCGGGAACGTCAGGAAGAGAAGACGCAGGAGGAGACGGTAGGGGGACACGCTGTGGACCAGTGGAAGGACGAAGGGCCATAATGTGCGTGCCAGGAACAGGAGGAGGACGCGGACGCGCGACACGACGACCAGTGGGACCAGTGCGCGCAGTGCGAGCAGTGCGAGCAGCGCGAACAGGCGAGGCAGGACGAGACGCAGGCTCACGACGCTCCGTAAGCGAGTCCGGCTGTGCAGTGTAAGGCACAGGAGCAGGGAGGGGGGAGCCAGGCTGGAGGGGAAGGCCAGTGGAAGACGGGAGGGAAAGAACCTGGCGAAGCACCGTGTCAGGCGGTGGCAAAGCCGACGGCGACGGTGGAGCGAAGAACAGTCGCGACGGCGGAGCTCCGCCAGTACCTCCAGCACCCGCAGCACCAGAAGCACCAGTACCAGCGCCCCCCGCCGCAGCACCCCCAGAGCCGGCGACGTCAGCACCAGAGGCCCCAGCAGCGTCAGACCTCCCCTCGCCAGCACCTCCAGAACCAGCAGGACCAACGCCTCCAAGACCGTCAGCTCCAGTGTCGTCAGCTCCAGCAGCTCCAGTACCTCCAGGAAGAGCACCCCCAGAGCCGGCAGCTCCAACTCCGCTAGTACCGCCAGCTCCAGAGTCCCCAGCTCCAGCAGCTCCAGCCTCAGTGCTCCCAGAACAACCAGCCCCGGCAGCTCCAGTACCTCCAGTACGAGCACCTCCAAGACGAGCAGCTCCAGAACCTCCAACTCCAGCAGGGCCACGAGGACGGCGAAAGCGCCGGACGTACCAGTCACGAAGCTGCTGCTGTGTGAGAGGCTCCCGGAGAGACGGCTCAGCACCCTAACCGGAGCACCCCCAGACGCAGCAACCCCAGGCTCCGTAGGCTCAGTCGCAGCACCCCCAGGCTCAGTACCCTCAGGCGCAGCACCCCCAGGCTCAGCACCCCCAGACTCCGCACCCCCAGGCTCAGTACC